ACTGTAGGGCGCGTGCACTCGCCAGACAGACAGAGAGAGACATAGAGACAGAAAGCGAGAAATCACCCCCCGGGGGGATGGTCACACCGCAATCCCTTCTCCATTCTCCTCTCGGGATCTTGGGCACGCACGCACACGCGCCCGGCGTGAGTTTTAAGCCACCGGGTCCGGGACACGAACCGTGGTCGACTACATGGGAGTCCAGCGACATAGCCATTACGCTAACTGCTGGTTCCCTCAGTTAACTGTTTTTGAGAGTGGACTTCATGTCGTCTTTCCTTTCCTTACTGGGCTTTCCAGCATCTTGTGTTACTTTGATTATGGATTGCCAATTCCATTAAACACATCGAGGAGAGTATTTCCTTAGTCTTTTCTGCCTGTGGTGCATTCCTCGGTATTGCCTTGGCATTGCCTGTTCTGTTCCATCTTAACTGTTTCCTTTAGTTAGGGCAGAATGGCTTCAATTAGCTTAGTTTGCTCCTGGTCCTAGTTTGAGACCAGGTTTCTGAGCACGGTATGTAGCTGGAGGATGCAGGAGCAGAGTTCACAGGCTGTCTCCCCGTGTATTCTGCTGCCCCTGCTGGGCTCCCACGTGGCTCCTGTGTAGCTGGCCACCAGCTTTCTTCGGTGGGGGAAACGTCTCTACAAAACATTTTGACATTGATTTTAGAAATTGGAAATATAGCTTCTAATACAGAAGTTTATTGAAACACTTAACTATAAGATCTGCTGCTGTCTTTTTCCTATGTTGATCATTTTATATTTCTTCTGTTTGTCTTATTCCAGGTTTTTTCCCCCTAAGATACTGTATTTAGGTACTTCTTTCTTTTTTCTTTTTTTCCCCTAGGTTTTTGCTGTAGGGTGCGTGCACTTGTCAGAAAGAGACGACGAGAGGGAAAGTGAGAAATCACCCTCCCCGGCAGGGATAGCCACGCCACAACCCCTTCTCCATTCTCCTCTGAGAGTTTGGTCATATATACACATGTGCTTGGCATGATTTTTAAGCCACCAGGTCTGGGACTCAAACCACAATTGGCCATGTGGGATACTAGTGCCTTAACCTCATGCTACCTGCTGGCTCCAAAGTTACTTCTTTGTGAAGTTCTAAAATCAAAGCAAATATTTGCCATTCATTTGTCTTAGAATTCGAGCTCTTTTGGGACTAGCAGGTGGCATAATTGTTATATCACTGGACTCCCATGTACTCATGGCTCAAGTTCTGGACCTGGCAGCTTAAAACTCATGCAGGGAACAGGTGTGTTCATGCCCACAATCCTGAGAGAAGAAAGGAGAGGAAAAGATTGTGGCATGGCTATCCCCCTTGGGAGGGGGGTGATTTCTCGCTTTCTGTCTCCATCTCTCAGCTCAACACACACTCTCTATAGCAAAAATCTCTCTTGAAAAAAGATTCTAGCTCTTTTGGGACCAGCAGTTAGTGTAATGGCTATGTCGCTGGACTCCCACATAGTCGACCACAGTTCGCGTCTCAGACCTGGTGGCTTAAACTCATGCCCTGTCTCTCTCTGTCTGTCTGGTGAGCGCTTGCGCCCTATAGCAATAACCTCACCAAAAAAGAAAAAAAAGATTCTAGCTCTTTTGTCCTTTGTATTTAAGTAGTACAGGGTAATTTATTAAGGAAAAAAATTGAAAAATGATAACATTGATGGAAAGGTATCTGATTTTTAATCTACTTGTCTCTAATTTTAGTTCTAAAAAGCAATACAGAAGCAGACAAGTATGCCAGCCCTTCTGTGTTGTGCCTGTCACCAGGGTAGTGTGACAATCCGTGATGTGTTTCTGTGCTGAGCTGTGCTGTCTCTTTCACTCTGAGGCACAACCTTGTGAACACTCGGCATGCATCCACTTTGCCTCTTTTAATTTCCTCGGATTGTTGGATAACCCCAGGATTAAGGTGAGTAGCACGTGAGGCTGCAGTGAACAGAAGATGTTAATGGGTTACAAGCCTGGGCGTGAGGTGCAAACAAAGGCAGGCTCTCAGAAAGAGAAATCATGCAAGTCTCCAGGCCTTTTTCTCCAGCAGAGATGTAACCTGGACTTAGACTGGTGGAGACAAGGATATCCAATGTGGCTTAGTGTTGGGTGACAGCAGAGAGAAAGCCAGGCTGGGAAGTAGTACACGCGTCAGGTGTTTGCTCCATCCCCTCTTGGGATATGGTAAGCCAGCATTTCTCAGGAAAACCATGGGCCCACAAATGCAGAAAGTGTAAAGCATCGAGTTAGCCGGGGTTGGGGATCAAGCTGATGTGACTGGTCCACGTTTAAATCACATACCTTGTTTCCTAGCCCATTCAAATGGTCATAATTCTAAGAAAAAAAGAAAAGTGGAGGACGGAGAATGAAGCTCTGTGGATTAAAGAGCAGGAAGTGCTGATTTTGTACATTAAAGTGTAATTTGTTTTACATCTACAAAGGCAGCAGCCTTAGTGTCTCTGAAGAAGTATGGCATGGGGACTTGTGGATCCAGAGGATTTTATGGCACGTTTGGTAAGTTTTTGTAGTATTCTTTTTCACACTGCTGCTCTTAATAGTTACGATTCTATTTTTATTCCAAAACTCCTTGGCAGACCTATGTGTATTTAGTTTTGGTGTCATGCTGGTGTGCACCATTTCTTGCCTAACCTCT